GCTGGCCTTGGCACTCCTGGCCAACCACTGCTCGGTACCCACCTCCTTAGGGAACGCATGTTCAAACAAACATACAGCCGCTTGATGTTTCGCGTATGCCCACCAGCCCATCCAGACACGATCGGAAGTCTTCATGATGCTCTTGCAGGCTATTTTGGGCCCTGCTCGACAGGAGGCTGTCGGAGGCTAAACTGAGCCATGCTCCGCTATCTTGGGCCAGCAATTTGAAGTTCAATTGAAGCCTCTTGGAGGTCTGTCGGTGGTGAACTTGAGCAATGCTCGACCTCCTGGGACCAGCTTGGGGGTAGGAGGAGAAAGGAGGAGGGAAGGAACGGACGATGACGAGAAGGATGAGGAATCCATTTGGATAACCCCGAGCCCACGATAATAATGTACCCCCCCCCCCCCCCTTAAGTCGTTAGAGTTTTTTATCGTCGACCAATAAGAGTTTGGTCGGGGGCGCGGGGCGCGGAGGCCAAACTTCATTATCACCTCGGAACGTTCTGTTGAGATAGCAAGATCAAGTTATGTTGAAATAGCAACATCAAGCGAAGCGAAACCAAGAATTTTGGGAGGCAGGCTCAAACGAAACGAGCAATGTTTCAAGGATGTCTCAAGCGAAACCAGTAATTCTGTGAGGATGTCTCAAGCGATTCGAGAAGCTTGTCGAGGATGTCTCAAGCGAAACAAGCATATACTCGAGGATGTCTCGAGCGATTCGAGAAGCTTGTCGAGGATGTCTCAAGCGAAACAAGCATATACTCGAGGATGTCTCAAGCGAAACAAGCATATACTGAAGGATGTCTCAAGCGAAACGATACGTTTCTTAAGGGTGTCTCAAGCGAAAACAACAATTCTGTGAGGATGTCTCAAGCGAAACCAAGAATTTTGGGAGGCAGGCTCAAACGAAACGAGCAATGTTTCAAGGATCTCTCAAGCGAAACCAGCAATTCTGCGAGGATGTCTCAAGCGATTCGAGAAGCTTGCCGAGGATGTCTCAAGCGAAACAAGCATATACTCGAGGATTGCTCTTGCTTGTCCTCTTCTCTTCTCCTTCTTTTTTCTTAATTTATATTTTCATTTCTTTATATATTTATTATTTCTGTTTTGTCCTCTCTCTCCCCCCATGCCCCCCTGAACTTGTTTATCCCTGGTGTTGATTATCCATGGCAAGTGAGGCACATGAGCTACCCTACACGAGCACTCAAAAAAACAACAATTTTCAGAAAGCGCTTGTACATTAAATCTAATAGATTTGGACCTTGACATGTTTGCTCTTTTTATTCCTCTTCTCTTCTCCTTCTTTTGTCTTAATTTATGTTTTTATTTCTTTATATATTTCTATATTTCTTTCTTTTTTCTCTCTCTCTCTCTCTCTCTCTCTCTCTCTCTCTCTCCCCCCATGCCCCCCTGAACTTGTTTATCCCTGGGGTTGATTATCCACGGAAAGTGAGGCACACGAGCTACCCTACACGAGCACTTAAAAATTTAAATTCCATAAAGCGTTTGCAAATAAAGATTAAATACATTTGAATATTCAGATTTTTTGTTTTATCCTCCTTTCCTCTCCTCTTCTACTTCTCCTCCTCATTTCTTCTTGTCCTTTTCCTTTTTAATACTTATTGTATGTATTTCCCTCAACTCTCTCTTTGTTTTCTTTATTTCTCTCTTTATATCTTTCTCTCTCCCCATGCACCCCTGAACTTGTTTATCCCTGGGGTTGATTATCCACGGAAAGTGAGGCACATGAGCTCCTACACGAGCACTATATATATAAAACAACCGAAAAAATGTAAATAAAATATAATAGATTTGGAACTTGAAATGTTTGCTTTTCCTCTTCCTCTCCTCTTCTACTTCTCCTCTTGAATGTTTCTTCTCCTCTTCATGTTCATTATTTCTTCTCTCTCTCTCTCTTTCTATCTCTCTGTCTCTCTCCCCCCCATGCCCCCCTGAACTTGTTTATCACTGGGGTTGATTATCCATGGAAGATCTGATAGGTTTTTTGTATTATTTCCTCTCTGTCCTTTTTCTCTCTCTGTTTCTCTATCTCTCTCTCCTCTTGCTCCTCTCCTGTCTTCTCCTTTCCTCTCCTCCTCTCCTTCCTCTCTTGCTTTTCATTATCTCCTCTTCTTCTTTCTCTCTCTCTCTCTTTCTCAATTTTCATAAAGCGCTTCTAAATAAAATCTGATGGTTTTGAAACTTGAAATTTTTGCTTTTTCTCCTCCTCCTCTATCTGTCGTTCTTTCTATATATCTTCTCTTATTCTTATTATTATTATTATTCTTATTCTTTATTCTAAGATTTGTTTGTTTCTTTATTTTTCTGTGAAATGTGTTATATCTTTCTTATTCTTTAAAACATATATTTATTTTTATCTTTTTTGCTTTTTCCTTATCTCTCTCTCTCTCTCTCTCTCTCTCTCTCTCTCTCTCTCTCTCTCAGCACAACCCCCCCAGCACAACCCTCCAGCACAACCCACCAGCACAACCCTCCAGCACAACCCTCCAGCACAACCCTCCAGCACAACCCTCCAGCACAACCCTCCAGCACAACCCTCCAGCACAACCCTGCAGCACAACCCCTCAGCACAACCTCTTGAGGTTTATTACCGTCGGCAGTTTTTTATCATCGGCAGTGGTCGATAGCAACTCCTGAGCTCTCCGGGAACACGGCGGCACGCAAATGATACGCATGTTTTTGAAAAACTTCATTTTGAAAAAAAAATATTTCTATTTAATTGCGAATTCCATTGAAATCTTTTCGAATTTGCGAAATCGAGCCGTCAGGCGCTTGAATGCCGCACTGCGTTCGAGATTTAGGCGAAAGCGTGTGCGACGCAATTTTCTCATGACACGCATTTTTTTTGGGAAAACCTTATTTTGACAAAAAATACTATATTTGGTTGCGAATTCCATTGAAATCCTTTCGAAATTGCGAATTCGAACCCGCACGCGCCTGAATGCCACACTGCGTTCGATATTCGGGCAAAAGCGCGTGCGACGCAAATTTCTCATAAATGCGTCGCGTGCTTAAATCTCGAACGCAATGTGGCATTCAAGCGCCTGACGGCTCGATTTCGCAATTTCGAAAGGATTACAATGGAATTCGCAATTAAAAAAGGTTTTTTTTTCAAAATTAAGTTTTTCAACAAATGCCGTCTTCCGGGAGAGCTCAGGATTTGCGATTGACCACTGCCGATGATAAAAAACTGCCGACGATAATAAACCTCAGCCGATGATAAAAAAAACTGCCGACGATAATAAACCTCAGAGGAGCGCACGGCGGGAGAGAGAGAGAGAGTCTCACCTCTCTCTCTCTCTCTCTCTCTCTCTCTCCCTCCCTCTCTCCTCTTTCTCTCACTATCTCTCTCTGCTCAAGGTGAGCTGCTGAAGCAGAGCTGCTCAAGCAGATGGCTGCTCAGAGAGCAGAACCAGACAATGAGACCTTCGAGAATAAAAAACACAATTATTTCGAGGATGTCTCAAGCGAAATAAGCAATAGTTTGACGGTGTCGCAAGCGAAATAAGCAATAGTTTCAGGATGTCTCAAGCGAAATACGCAATAGTTTCAGGATGTCCAGGCGAAATCAGCAATAGTTTGATGATGCTTCAAGCGAAAAACACAATTACTTCGAGGATGTCTCAAGCGAAATAAGCAATAGTTTGACGGTGTCTCAAGCGAAATAAGCAATAGTTTGTGGATGTCTCAAGCGAAACAAGGGATTTGTCGAGGATGTCTCCAGCGAGATAAGCCATTGTTGAGGATATTTTAATGAAGACTAAACGCCAAGGATGTCTCAAAACGTGCTCGGTTTGGTCTCCTCTTGATCATCTCTTACTTCGAGATTATGCTGAGGTCTGGTGGGCTACTTTGATTATCTCCCCCTGAACCCCGAACTCTATTATCCCCTAGTGTTTATTATCGTGAGCATGGGGTTATGTGCGTTGTGCGTTGTGAAAGGTGTGTGGTCATGTGTTGTGAAGATTTGTTGTTGTGTTGGATATATGTTGTTGCCTTGAGGTGATGTGTGTTGTTGAGAGTTGCTGTTGCACGGCAACACAGCTCCCAGATGCCAGGAAGTAAAACAGTACCAATTCCAACCTGGGCACTCATGTCGACTCCCAGAACGAATGTGTAACCTTAAGACGTTCCTGTGATGTCTGAATCGTTTGAATGCAGTACAAGTAGAATCCTCGTGTCAGCTGGTTGAAAATGGCACTGCTGGTTGAGAAGTGGCCAGGTCGGCTGTAATCAGTACCAGTCGGTTGGGATTGGTCCGACATGCGGTCGTTACCCCCCCCGGGGGTGTGCCCCGCCGCCCCAGGGGGGTGCACCACTCCTTGGGAGAAGCTTTCGGCGGCAGAGCGCCACCGTCGTCGTCGTCATCGCCGTCGTCGTCGTCGTCGTCCCCATTCAGGGTCGGCGGCACCGGCCGTCAGGCCTTCGCAGTAGATTGGGATCTGGGAATCCAAACTACCTACTTTCAACGACCGGTGGAGAATGGCACCCTCCGACCCTTCAAGGCGACGGTCTTACTCACTCGTCACTGCCAGGGGACTCGGCCTGGCTTGGGAATGGCACGCCAGCTGGAAGGAGGAGACGGAGGAGGGTGAGCTCCGAAAGTAGAACGGAGCAAAAACTGCATACAGTGGAGGCCAGTCCATAAGAAATCTTCCACAAGAAACCCACCCTGAGGCCCCAGGACGTCCATTGATTGGTGTGGGAACGTCGCGCTTCCATCGCAAAACCATCGAACCCAAGAAACCCCAGGCAACCTGGAGGCAAGCAGGGCGTTTCTTGGCATGGGTCTCCACTGTAAGCCTGATTTCTCTCAAACCCGCGCGGACTTCCTGGATCTGCGCTGGGGGACCCTCCCTGACGCGCGGAGCGCGCCAGGGAGCGACGCCAGAGGTGTCCGCCTGCGGGGCCCCAGCGCCGAGGCAAGAGAACTCCGCGCGGACCTCCGAGAAGTCCTGCTTGTGCCGCTCTCTGTTTTTTTTCGACAGTTGCCAAGCAGCTCCGCCAAGAAGTGGCGGCGCAAACAAGGGGGTGGAGGGAGGGTGGAGGGCTTTTTTTGACAAAAACTGTTTCTTGGCAGGCGCTGGCCCTATACATCTACAGAGAAGGCCCGCGCCTTCAAAGAAGCAGGGGTGCTTCTGGTAAGCCATTCCACCTCCCCCACGACCCCCCAGTGCGCGTGGCTGAAAGAAGGCTTTCTGGAATGCCCCCACATCGAGTGCGATACGACGTGTCACGCGACCGGGACGGTTGGCAGGCGGCGCCTGTGCGCCGAGAATCGGACAGCCTCGGGCCGATCGGTGGTACAGTGATGGCCCCGCACTCGAGCCATCACCGTCTTCAAACTCCGCCGATCGACGCCGCGACCGTGAAAAATACTGTGCAGCCAGATCGACATGCCCCAATCGTGGTCCTCAGAGATCCAACGCGTTGCAAAAAAACAAAAACAAAAATGACCGAAGTTGCTCGACGTTTCCGACCTCTAAAGGCCCTCGCCGGGCCCGGGCACCGCCCCTCGGAGTGGGTCGCGACGTCTGAAAACCTCGCATTGGCAAAAATCAAAGCATCGGATCTCTGGGTCCCCCATGGCCTGCGTGACCCCAGTGTAGGGGGCTGCGTAGGGGGGAGCTCCGCGCGAGCTTGCTCCCTCAGACGATGGCGGAGCTCGCGGGCTTCTTGAGGACCTTCTTCTCGCCCGCCGGGGTGTCATCGTCCTCGATCTTGTAGTCCTCTCGGCAGCCCGGGCGGGGGAAGGGGCCACGGGGGAGGGCCCCCCTGAGCAGACTGGGGACGTCCCGGACGGGCCCGGAGGCTTCCCAGAAGGCGTCCCCTAGGAGACGACGGCGCGGGAGGCCCCCCCCTGCCTGCTGACAAGGCCGCCCCCTCGCGCCGCCCCCCGGCCCCGATCCCTGTGGAGTCCCGAAACGGTGCGGTGACAGACCGTGCGGCGACCTCGGGCCCCCGAGGGGCCTCACCGCACGGTCCGTCACCGCACGGTCTTGGGACCCGGGAGGCCCCTGTCGCCCGAGACATCCCTCGGAGAACGACCCGAGTCCCAAAAAACCGTGCGGTGACCCCGAATCCCCACCGACGCACCGCACGGTGTGGTCACCGCACCGTTTGGGGGCCCTCGAATCTCGGGGCCCCACGAGCGGGAACCTGTGGCAGGCCGGGAGAACGTCGGCGCACCCCGAGAGAGAAGCGCAGCCGTGGGCCGAGGCAGACAGACGCCCAGCGTCGGACAGCGCCCAAGCCTGCGCGGGGCCTGGGCGGCTGGCATCGCAGTGCCTCAAATGGACTCGTGCACGAAGCCGTCCTCCAGGCTCGCCCACAGTTCCTTACTGCAAGCACGTGTAACAATCCAGACCCCGTGAGAGGTGTCATATAGCCGGCAGCACGCAAATGGACTACATCGTCAGCCCAGCGACTTCGAGGCCTCCCGGAGTCGAAGCAGCCTCCGCCCTTCGTTTCTCTCCAGCTGCATCTGGCGGGCAATGTCCTGCTCTGCAGTGTCCGCAGGCCCGCTCAAGACCGGTCCCCCCCGGACCCGTCCCGGGGCCCACCCACCCCGGCAGTGGCTCTCCGAGCGGAGTCCAGCCGTGGCCACCCGGCTGAAGGAGAAGCCTTTGCGAAAACAACGCCCGAGCGAGCTAGAAGGAGCCGCATGGGACGCGCATGGGACGCCAGAGAGAGCCACATGGGACGCCATACTAGTACTGTATGCCCTCCTTAGAGGCGCGCGCGTCCGACCCGAACATATAGTATACCCATCTTGCAGAATATCGTTTCCCGAGCGGTATGGCCAGAAAGCGCCGGCCACGACGCATACAATATGTGATTTCTCGGTGCCCGCGTCGCCCCTGAGGGGGCGGCGCACCCATAGCATTAGTGTGCTGGGGTGACGCCGACCGCATCCGACTACACAAAAAATAGCTCAAGAAGGAGTGACCTTTGGGGCACGGCGTCGCCAGAAACTTTTTTCTTTCAACGGCCAGACCCTCAGCGACGACGTCGCCGTCTTCGACGTCGTCGTTCTGGGCGCCGCCTATCCTCGCTCAGGCGGGGGTCCAGCGGGTTGGTGTAGCCCTCTGGCGGCAGCTCGCCGCCGCCGATGTAGGTCTTGTACATGCCCTCCTCGTCCTTTCCGAGGCACAGACCTCCTCCATTCCTTGCCTTTATAAATAACTTATCCCTGTCGCACCCCAAGGCCAGTTGTTAGGGCGGGCTGGGCGTTTCGCCTGAGACTTCCTCACCATTTATGACCCCGAAGCTTTAACAATGACAACAATTTCACATGTTGAGGAAGGGTGCTTTTCAATATGTGGCTCTCGCCTTAGCGCCGCGCAAATTGTTTGAAACGTTTGCAAGAGCTTCACGGATTGAGGGCGGGTGGTTTCCAAAATGTGGCTCTCGCCTTACCGCCGCGCACATTCGTTTGAAACATTTGCAAGAGTTTCACGGATCCCTATGATCAACGTACCAGAAATTGTGATTTGGATTCAGGATTAGACGGGTGCAACAGTTATGTTGGTTCGTGATGCTGCAGTGCCAGAAAAAAGGCGTTCTGGCACGATTCCAGATCGTCAAGACGCAGCAGTCTGGTTGATCCGTGGCGTGGAAATCCCGGGAACAATGTTCTGGCATGCTTCAAGGTCTTCGAACGGTTGTCTTCCAACGAGGCAGTTCCCTCAATGGAGATGAGCCGTTGTAGGGCCTACGAAGAGGAAGCTTGGAGGGAGGGTTTATTCCAACATCGTTGATGATTTGTCGGTTTACACTGGTCCTCCTCCTCCTCCTCCTCCTCCTCCTCCTCCTCCTCCTCCTCCTCCTCCTCCTCTCCTCTCCTCTCCTCTCCTCTCCTCACCTCCCCTCTCCTCTCCTCTCCTCTCCTCTCCTCTCTCCTCTCCTCTCCTCTCCTGTCCTGTCCTATCCTCTCCTCTTCTCTCCTCTCCTCTCCTCTCCTCTCCTCCTCTTCTCTTCTCTTATCTTCTCTTCTCTTCTCTTCTCTTCTCTTCTCTTCCTCCTCCTACTCCTCCTCCTTCTCCTCCTCCTCCTCCTCCTCCTCCTCCTCCTCCGTCTGGAGAACCTCGAGGCCGAGGCATTCCACAACATGCTCCGCCTCTGGGGGGGGGACACGCGCCGGGCCCTCGGACCGTCCACAGCGCCAATTACTCGAAAGGACAAAACCAGCCCCCCGGGAAGTGCGCCGAGACCTCGGGGGCTCGACGAACCCAGAGATCCAACGCATTGAAAAAATCAAGACGGAGGCTTTTCGTATGTTTCGGCCTCGAGGGGCCCTCGCCGGGCCCCCGGATCGTCCAGAAACGGCTCGGGATGAAAAACCGGTCCTGGGGAACGGGTCGAGACTTCCAGGGGCCCCGCATTGAAAAAAACACGACGTCGGACCTCTGGGAATGGTGAGGCCTGTGGACGGTGTGGCCTCGACTCCGGCCTCTGCGACCGCCCATCTCCGATGCGGGCGCTGGCTGCACACGGAGAGAAGCCTCTCTCTCTTCTGCAAAGACGCAAGAGCGCACCCGCAGGCCAGCCTCGCCCGCCGAGTCGTGTCGCACCACGCCGCTCCTGCCCGCACCGTCGGCCGGCCCTGTGGGCCTCTTTCACGAGGGCCTGGAGGTCGGCCATCCGAGAGAGGGGGGGGGGCGGGGATGGTGAGCATCGGATCGGGAGGTCGCATCGGGTCGGAGCGTGCGCCTCGTCGGGCCGCAGCGGCACGAGGCCGAGGTCGAACCGGGGCCGGCCGTGCCAGGGTGCACAGCCAGGCCGTGCAAGCATCGGGCCGCACCGGATCACCCGAGGATCGAGGTCGGATCAGATCGGGTGGGGCGAGATCGGCATCGAATCGGCGGTCGGTCGAGTCCAGATGGGCCATGCGTGGCCCCTGATCTGCGAAGCCCCCGAGGAGAGACCACGCCCCTCACCCAGTGGCCTCTGGCCAGAGCGCCCCGCCAAGGCCTCCGAGGCCCCAGGGGCAGCGCAGGGATCGCCCGAGGGAGCCCCCCGGGGACGGGCCCGCAAGGGCTCCAGGACTGCTGCAAAGCCCATGGTTTCGATATTTCGTGGAGACACCTGCCCTGCACCGGGCCCCCACCTCCTCCCTCCCTCCTCCCTCCCTCCCTCCCTCCCTCCTCCCTCCCTCCCCCCTCCCTCCCTCCCCCCTCCCTCCCTCCCTCCCTCCCTCCCTCCCTCCCTCCCCCCTCCTCCTCCTCCTCCTCCTCCTCCTCCTCCGCCTCCTCCTTCCTCCTCCTCCTCCTCCTCCTCCTCCTCCTCCTCCTCCTCCTCCTCCTCCTCCTCCTCCTCCTCCTCCTCCTCCTCCTCCTCCTCCTCCTCCTCTCCTCCTCCTCCTACCTCCTCCTCCTCCTCCTCCTCCTCCTCCTCCTCCTCCTCTCCTCCTCCTCTCCTCCTCCTCCTCCTCCTCCTCCTCCTCCTCCTCCTCCTCCTCCCGAGCTGTTCCCCGCCCTGGAAAACGAGGGGGGTGCGCAAACTTCGGGCCCCCGTGGAGCTGGAACCCCACGCGCCACCCGCACCGCACGGGGCATGCCGCCGTGCGGTAGGGGGCGCGCAGAGGCCGATGGCCGCTGCCCTCCGAAACGCAGCAGCCCCCTTCGCCGGGGCATCTGGCGCCCCAAGAAGGGCCCCCTGCCCGCCGCCAGGCCTTGGCGGGCTTCGAGTTCGTGACCCAGAACGCCGCCCAGCTCACGGCAAACAGCAGCGCCCCGAGCGCCACGGGGAAGCTGACGCCCAAGAACGTGTCCGTGGAGGGGCCGTACTCGCGCGTCTTCGACATCTCGTCCAGGGGCAGGTCCTCCAGGGGCGGCAGCTCGGCGACCGCTGCTCGGGGCGCGAGCGCCGCCGCCACCGCCGCGGAGAGCCCCGCCACGGTGGCGGGCCTGCCGGCGTCCGGGGCGGGGAGGAAGGCGCACACGGACCCCCGCAGCGCCAGCGTGGCCAGCCCAGCCGCCAGCAGGGCGGGCAGCAGCGCAGAGGAGTGCCTGGCCATGGCGCAGCCGAAAGGCGGGGTCTTGGCGTCGCCAGACGCTGGTGCCGGGGCCGCGCTGTGTCGAGCAGACGCTGGCTCGGGCCCGCAATGTCGCCGAGAGGCAATGGGCGAGCTGGTCGATTGCAGCCGCTCTAAACTTGGGTTTCTGTGCCCGGTGCCCTGTTCGATTTGCGCGCGGAGAACAAGGATCCCAAGGTCCGACGTGTGTGCCTGGCCAGGCTGAGGTGATGCGCTTGCCGTAGATGGCAGTCCGCCTGCGTTCCTACTGACGCCAGCGATACGACCAACTTAGGCTCTGACTAATTGCGACTGCTATTACTTGTCCATAAATCGAACCGGGAGATACGCGATTCATTGCTATGCACTGCTGGGCATGGCTGCGGCATAGTATGCAATGCTACGCAACGCTGTGCAAGACGATGCAAAGCTATGCAATGGTATGGTGTGCAACGCGGTTATACGCGGTGCTGTGCAATGCAGTACTACGTCAGGCTACACCGCCAAGTGCTACGCGACGCTGTGATGTGCCACGCTACGCCGTGCTACGTGCTACACCACGATGTGTTGTACAACGCTACGTCATGCGATCCTCGACTAGACGTGTAACTATGCAGTCATACGCTATGGTGTCAATACCGCAGTGTGAAATCAAACGATATGAGAGAAGGATGATCGTGCCAGTGAACCTATCCGCATATGCCCACCCCCTGGGGGACAGCGCCCGCACTATGAGTCGGGATGCCCCCCAGAGACGCGTGCGCCTGAAAGGCAGCGCACAGTGAGGTGAGAGGTAGAGCTATGCAGGTGTTGCCATCGGCCAGGCCTACACCATCATACAGTCTATAACTCCCAGAACAAGTTTTGCCTTGAGCCGCCCGTCGCCGCCCGCCGCCACCGTCCTTGGTCACGATATTGACTGTGCGCGGCTCGCACGTTGCAGTGCTTGGCATCGCTGTGCATTGCTCTGCACTGCTTCGCATTGTTCTGCGTTGCTTTGCCTTGCGTTGCGTTGCTTTGCGCTGCTTTGAATCGATGTGCATTGCTTTGCATTGCTTTGTTCTGCTTTGCATTGCATTGCATTGCATTGATTTTCATACGCAATACTATGACAATCAACTATTTGTCATGCGATGGATTGCTGCGCAACGCCGTTGTACGTCATGTTAAACAAACACGTGCTAGATCATGATCGGAGGTGAGGGGGTTAAGAACGCAGTGAAACGGAAAGCAACCCACCAGAAACATCGGTTTCCGCTTCGGGTTCGTGCCGTGCGTGCAGGCGAAGCGAAATTGCGAGGGCGGGCGAGAGGAATGAACCCTCCTCTAACTAGGGCGCCGCTGGGCCAAAAGAGCGCCCTTCCCTGTTGTCCGGCGGTGGCCAGGGGTGTCCCGCAGTGTCCAGATGGTGTCCCATGGTGTCCCAAGGTGGCCCGTGGTGTCCTGTGGTAAGGTGTCTCGTGGTGTCCCGTCGTGTCCCGTGGTGTCCCATGAGGTCGACGGTGAGGTCGATAGTGAGATCGATTGTAATATCGATAATGAGATCGATAGTGATATCGCCAGTGATATCGATAGTCAGATCGATAGTAAGATCAATAGTGAGATCGATAGTGAGAGCGATAGTGAGAGGTATAGTGGGATCGATTGAGAGATCGATAGTGGGATCGATTGTAAGGAGGATAGTAAATCGATGGTGAGATCGATCGAGTGAGATCAATAGAGAGATTGATGGTGTAATCGGTAGAGAGATCGTTAGTGAGATCGATTGCCTGAAACGGTGGTTCCGTCCGCCCCATCTCATGATCACCCGAACAGTGGACGTATAGGTGTGTTATGCGATGGTACGCCGTGACATGCCAGCTTTCGAAGAGCTATGGAATGCTATGATCTGCTACGGCATGCGATGCCACACTAGTTTATGCAATGCTATGCTACGCAATGCAATGCTGTATCCGATCAGGCTCTGCTATATGATGCGCACTGCTGGTGCGCCATAACACTCTTGGCGGTGATATTACATGCGTTGCTATACTTCGAACAGAATTACAATGGAGTATGATGCATTGCATTGCGTATTCTGTCAGCGCCTATCTTTTTGCAGACCGATTCGCAGGTGTCCGGAGACAGGTTCGGCAGAAGATGTGAAAAACGCAAAGCTGCCCAATCAAACCCGTTCCTCCGCCTGCCTTGCGAATCTTCATAGCATGGCTATCACCTACACGAGCATGAACTCCTCAAGTGGCGGGCACGCCTTTGAAGACGGACCAAACACTGGATAGTCCTCTGGCGACGTGGCGCTGTCGAGTTGTCTGAGCTCGGACGGTGTGAGGCGGCCTTGGAAAATCGCCAATGCTTCCTTCATGTGGCTCTGCTTGCTCATAGGTGTTGATAAAGGAACACCTTGATCCAATACCCAACGCATTGAAACCTGCGCTCCGGACCACCCATGCGCCTTGCCAATGCTAGTGACTAACTTGCCAGATACGAGCTCGCCTGAATCAAGTGCCCGGATTGACTGTGTAATTGTCCCAGATTCGTTGAAGGCAGACTTGAACCCTTCAGGATCAACACCCATGCCGACGTGGTAGAAGAGTTGATTGAGCGCAGGCGCAACCCTAGCAGTATCCATGATACATTTCAGTGATGCTGGACAAAACACGCGAAGTCCAATAGCTCTTGCGTTTCCTGCTACATAGAAATCCTCCATGGCCCGCCACTGCTCTTGAATGGACCTACAGGTTGTCGCTGGGCGGCTCAGAACCATCACATCAACATTCTGAACTCCAAGATTCGTCAAAGTGGCTTGCAAGAGATCAGCAGCAGTAGCATACGCTGACGAGCTACTGATGTTTTGCTCCAGCATGATTCCTGCTGTCAAGAAATAGCTGTTTCTCGGCACCTCCTTCAAAGCAGCGCCCACACGAACCTGACATTGCTCGAATGTGGCCGCATCGATTCCGGTGATTCCAGTCTGGAGCGCCATGCTCACAATTGGACCGATGTCTTCAGGAGCATACTTTTCGGGCTGCACTGCCAACATTGGCATCCTTACGCCATTGTTCAGCACGGTGTGGCCAATCTCAGCAGCGCCAACCGCCAGCAAACTGGCAAGCAACACTATCATTGAGGCACAAGAAAAGGCAAACAACCTCGCTTGCAATCGAGTGCCCCGCTGGCTTGGACCTCGTCTTGAGCCTGCGGGAAGAAGTATCCTCCTCGGCATGCCCTCAGCAAGACATGCAGGAGGCACACCAGTGATGCGCTCGCTTCTGCGGCGTGCTTCGCCCCCCTCCTGGTTGCCTCGATCCCCGGAGACGCCTCCGGGCAACTCCCGTGCCGTGCTGCGCAGAGGCGCCCTCCCGAGGTGCCCGGAGCCCCTGCGGGGTCGCCCCCCCGCCCGACCTCTGCCTACCGCCTACCCCCCCCGCCCCCGGGCGCAGGCGGCAACCCCAGACCCCCGACGTCGCGCTCTTTTCGCAGCGTCGACCCCCCGAGGTCTGGACCCCTTCCCCAGGACCGGTTTCTCATCCCGAGCCGTTTTTTGACGGTCCCCCCTGTGAGGGCCCCTGGAGGCCGACAACAGCGAAAAGCCTTCCGCCGTGGTTGTTTCAGGACTCGATGGGGGGGGGGGCAGTCCCCCCCCTGAGCATCGTGGCCTGGCAGGGGCCCCCAGAGGCCGAAAACGGCCAAAAAGCTCCTGTCGTGAGTTTGTTCACAAAGCGAGGGGGTCCGGGTCGCAAGCCGGGACATCGCCAGGGGTCTTCCCGGAGCCCCTCGGGGCTCCCTGCCTGCACCGGGAGAGGCCGCGCAAGAGGCGAGGCCTCGTCGGTCCCTGGGCCCCGCCAACGTGCGAGCTGGTCCTCGGGCGCCGCGCCCTGAACGCTCCGGTGCCCGGCACGGGCTGGGTGCTGGGCAGGACCCAGATGCAATGCAGAGCCCTGCACGCCGGCCGGAAGAAGCCGGAGAGAGGCATGAAGCAGGACGGCGGACAGAGCAGATCGGGCTCAGGCCCTCCCAGAGAAGCACAGAGCACTGGAAAAAGGCATGAAGCAGGACGGCGGGCAGAGCAGATTGGGCTCAGGCCTCCCAGAGAAGCACAGGGCACAGCACAAGCATTGAAGCAAGATGGCGGACAAAGCAGATTGGGCTCAGGCCCTGCCAGAGAATCATGGAGTACAGCACAGGCCTGAAGCAGGAAGGCGGACAAAGCAGATTGGGTTCAGGCCCTCCCAGAGAATCACAGAGCACAGCACAAGCATGAAGTAGGAAGGCGGACAAAGCAGATTGGGCCCAGGCCCTCCCAGAGAATCACTAAGCACAGCAAAAGCATGAAGTAGGACGGCGGATAAAGAAGATTGGGCCCAGGCCCTCCCAGAAGAATAACAAAGCACAGCAAAAGCAGATCACCTCTTGAAGCATGAAGGCGCTTGAAGTAGAAGATGGGATCTGGGAATCCAGAAATACCTACTTTCAACGACCAGCGTGTACCTCATTCCCGGAGATCTGATGTCATGATTTTCTAATACGGGGTCCCCGGAACTCTCGACCCATGCCCACGGACCGGCTCTTCACCCTGAGTTCTTTTCTGACGCTCCCCGGGCCGGCGAGGGTCCCTAGAGGCCGAGAGGTTGCGAAAAAATTCTCATTCCCCAGGACTGGCTCTTCATCCTGAATTCTTTTCTGACGCTCCCGGGGCCCGGCGAGGGCCCCTAGAGGCCGAAGGTTGCGAAAAAACTCGATCATTCCCCAGGACCGGCTCTTCACCCTGAGTTCTTTTCTGACGGTCGAGGGGCCCAGCGAGGGCCCCTTGACAATTTTTACGATTCCTCCTGTAGATGGACAGGCCCGACTTAACCTTTGTCTGAATTTTCTCCGTGCGTTGCATCCCTGGGCATCCTGGCCACCCGGCCGTCGCGCCTCGAAACAATGTCGAAACAGTGTCGAACGAGTGTCTCCCAGAGCCCCACGCGTGAAACACCTCGAGGTTCGGTACTTTTCTGGCGCTCGACATTCACTCTGGTGATCAAGGTTACACTAGGTTGGGACAGCACAACCTTACTCTTGATTTTCTCAGCACGTCGCACCTC